CCCCAAAACCCCAAAACCCCGCAAGTAAATATTTGAAATCAATATTAAAAAGATTCGTCAAAATATATTTGATATTGGTTCTAAAATTGGAATCAGAAAAATGATTATTCTTCTTAAATTTCATTAACTGCGAAGTTTAAATTAAAATGACTATAGTATCAATAGCATAATAATCATTGAGAGTCATTCAAACTTAAACATCTTTAATTACTAATCCTTTTTATTCGAAGATAGTTAGTGTTTCTGAATGTTTTATCTCTTGAAACTTTTGGTTATACTATTCGTCTGTTTAAAAGGAATTTATTTGCAGCTATCATCAATCTTGATGATATTTTCCTCAAGAGATTCCTATACTCTAAATGCCTCAAGAGATTACTATACTCTGAATGTTGAGGTAATAGTCTGAAAGGATATATTATTCAAGAGTTCTTATTGTTAAGTTTCTTTCTAAGTTTCATAATTATTTTGGAGTGAACTGACTATTAACTGTGAATTATTTTCAAATCTAAGTTAAGAATGAGATTGCTCATCTTCGAATATTTCTTCATGCTTTAAATTATTCGATGATATTTTCGTAAATTTCCTGGATTTCATAGAATGTTGCTTTTAAATCAATATTTATTGTTTTTGCTATTGTTTCTTTAATTGATTTTGCTATTGAATTTATTATTATCCTTCTTTCTATTATAGGCTATTTAAAGTAGTTATCTTTGTTTTATTTTGCATTTTAAGGAAAATTTGGAATTTCCTGAATGCAATTTTAAGGATCTTGTAGAATGATTATGCTGTTAATAATATCATTACTATTATGTTTGAAGTGGCAAATAATGATATCGCTAAGATTATTATCAATGTGATTAAAAATCTCTCATCGTCTGTTTGATTATTAGATTGAAATTAAAATGAAATCATAAAACAAAACAATACAACAATTTCATTAAATATATTCATCACATTTGATAGAATGTCTTTAAATGGTCTAAATATTACCAGAAATATCAAGACAGTAAGAGAAGAAATGATGCTAATTAATAGCTATACAGAGCCATTCTTTTGGAAAATAGCTAAAGTTGCTGCGTAAATAATTCTTCTCAAAAAGAATAAGGGTATCCAAATATTTTAAATTGTTTTCCTTTACATTACTTTCTAGTTTTCAGTTAATGATCCAAATCTCTCGTAAAATTGTGGTTTATTTATATTATCAAAGTTAAATAGGATCAAATCAAATAAATATATCGGACAAATGCAGATACTTATCTATATCCAATTACATAATGTTAATAAACTTACAAAAAATATAAATGAAACAACTGATCCAATAATTTAACTAACATTTTCAAATTGAATCTATTACCATTAATTGATCAAATAATAAATTACATTATAAAGTCCTATAAAATTAAGAATAGCCATTTCCAAATAAAATTCAATAAAAGCCTGAATAGGGAGATTGTATCTAAAAATATGGTCTATTTTATTTATAATCAACCGTTTAAAACTAAAGTAAAGTATTAATGATGATCACTTTTAATTATTATTACCAATCATTTCTTGTGTATACATAGGTCAAAAGCATAAAGGAAATTAGAAGCTGAAATTATACAAACCAAATAACCAATTTTGCTTTGTATTATAACACGAATACAGTACCTTAAATTCCAAAATCAAAAAATGCCTAATTAAATATCTTTTCTTTGTAATCTTTTTCATCGATTAAATTGTTAATAAAGGATTCAGGATCTGAAATACCTGGAACAGGTATATTAAACTTAGAAGTTGACAAAAAATCAAGGAAATCTCTAAGGTCTTGAGGGTAATAAACTTGAATCAAAGGCATATAATATAGGATTTATAGAGTATTGATCATTTCGAACATCTGACTCATTATCCCTTGCATTAATATTTAAGCTACCATATTTGAACTTACTACTGAAATAATTACAGTCTAAGCTTGACCTATTATGGCCATCATTAAATCTGATCTTTCTTTATTTTTATATTCATAAGGCAAAAGCTTAATTGCTGACTGTTGACTTATTGAGTTTGGAATTCCCTGTTTTTATGGTTTAAATCTATTTGAGAGCAATTTTATCACAAGCACTTCATCTCCTTTGAGTGAAAATTAGATTTTTATTTGCAAATTGTACTTATTTTTCCTGATTGATTCCTAATCTATTTCACCTGTCCAAGTTAAATTCTTTTCGGTGTTATCTGGCAACTTTATTGATAGTTCTAGATCATCATTCGTTAGAGATCCTTCCTAAGTTTTCATCGGCTAATTAAATGAGAAAGCTATTTGGGTGCTGGAAAATGATTAAATTATTAATTTTGGTGGTTCTTATTTTTAGCACATTGAATTTTCACAACTAAAGCCCGGTTCAATGATACAATTTTCATCACATCCATCTCCATTATTCAAATTTCCATCATCACATTCATTTTATCCTAATCTTTTTCCATCTCCACATATCTCTGTGCATTTTCTTTCAATCATAGGTAATTTGAATCCAGGGATCAAATCACAAAGGGTACATTTTGCAAGATAGATTGCATAGTCTGAAGCACATTTAACACACTTATCAGAACCTGGTCCTAAACAACTTTCGCAGCTTATATCGCAATCAATGCAGTCCAATATTGTTAAATTAAGATATTAGTTAGTAGCACACGAGGGATAAAAACATTTTCCATCAAAAAATAATTATTTTCCTTTACAAGATTAGCATTCCCTTTAAATATTAATTTTTCTATTTTATCTTACCCATTATTTGGTCCAGTGCAAGTTTAGCATTAATAAGAGCAAGGAAGGCAGGCTGAATATATTTAATCATAATATGTTCCTTCTTGGCATGAGTTAATGCAGTCTGATTGAGGTAACTTTATATAGAGTGCATTCGATTCTTCAATACATCTATGACAAGCATTTGTATTATTTTAGTCACAGACACATAATGGTCTCTTACAAGGTTTGCAAACATTTTGGTCTAAATCAGAATCATAGACATCTATGGTATATTTAGGGCAAATAAAAATGCAAGTTTTTTCGTACAATGAATTCAAGCATCTATCACAATTATTTATCCAAGGCTCATTGCATTTACTGCAATCTTAATAGCAATCCAAGTAATAATCATCATTATTTGACTTTTTAAAGAATATTGAGGGTCTATAACTACAGCTAGCATTATCTTAATCTATACACTCTTGAAAATTGAAACATTTATCATGACATTTATTCCAATTTTCACAATGCTAATCTACTAATTAACTAAACTACTCATTGCATTTTATATCGAGGTGAGTCTAGTTTTAATCAGATATAACGGTTTCATAGGCCCATTTAATTCTACCATCTACTAATTAAAGAACTCTGCTTATTTTAGCATGAGTAGCTGTGTTGTAAAGATAACTACCTCCGCTCTCATCTAGCTTAAAATATCCAATCAAGATCGATAAATCTTTGTTCTTTGGTCTAAATATATTTTAACATGAAGAATATATATTACTAAAATCCATAATTTTTTATCCATTATGTAGAAATGTAGGTGCTATAAAACTAGATTTCTCTTAAGTATGAAATAGTGTCGTCAGATTATTGAAAAGTCCAATTTATTAAATTATTATCCTTCGTCGTATCAATAATAAAGTTCTTTTTGCCTCTCTCATCAAACAAAATGCTACCTTATTGCTGATACAGAAATAATCTAAATATAATTATGCCAAATACAATGAATTATTATTACAAATAGGCTTGTTTAATTTAGTCGCATAATTTGAATGTGATTTGCATCCAATTGTTTAGGTATTTATCTCCAATTCCACCTGCAATTTTCATAAAGGGAGCATCGTTTAAACTCTACTACAGTAGTACAGAATCTCTAGCTAAGTCCACATCCAAGTATACTCTATTTTGAATTTGCATTTAGAATTGTTGAATTGATTAGAAATAGACCCAAAAGGAAACTGAAAAACATTTTGTGTATTTTGCATCAATAATGATTGAAATTTCATCTATCAGTTATAGGATCTTCTTAGAAGCTATAGAATTAAATGATAATTTTAATGTCTTACGTTAGCAGTAGCCTCTATTTGAGTACTGAGTGTCTCCATCACACATTATTGGAAGACTAGGATAGGAAATATATTCATATTAATAGCTATCATTTATTGTAAAAACTCCAGAGACTTGCTCTCTGATTAAATTTCCCATTGGTTCAGTTAATGGATAGAGTGATGCAAGATTAATATTGTTCATGGAGTTAATAATTCCAGTTTTATGATGCAGAATTTAAAAAGCTTAGCCAACTGAAAGGAATTTTCTAAATATCTTAATATGCCTCAAATATCCACTGAATGTATATGCTGCATCGTCTGACCCAATATAAAATGAGACAAGACCACTAATTTCAGATTTATAACTTTCATTTTTTATGTTTATTGTTGATTAAGTCACATTATCCAAAACAAGATACAATTCATTATTGATGAAAGAGTTGCCAAGTGCTATATATAGCCATGATTTGTAAATAATTATGTCAGAATCGTACTCCAAACGAGAATTTAAATTCGGCTAATGAATAATTTTATTAGGTTTGGCTACATTTAATTTAGTCAATTATGTTAAACCAAGAACTTCAGTCTCAATTGCAGATAAATCTGTCAGGTAAAGGCATAATTGAATTGTATATTCTTGACTCATATCTTATATATTTTAAAGCACGAGTTTCTATGTTTTCCCTTTCTAAAATAAGATACCTCTATCCATGTATTAATAATTGATGAAATCATTAGTCCAGGTCTCTTCATTCATTAATACCCGTTCCCACTAAGGATCCCACAAAATCTTTCCATTATTACCCTGTTTAATAGATAAAGAATTTATATTGTTTCCATAGAGAGAACTATCATAAAATGTACTTCCTACGTCCTCATCGAGTTTATAGTAGAAAAGGAGTGAATATCTATAATGAAGAGTAGATATTCCACTAAATAAAAATTCTAATATTTAACCAGGTAACAGTTCTTTAGCAATCCCGAATACATTCTTGATCTTCATTTTAGCATCTGCCAATGAATAATCTCCGATTGATATAGACTTAAGCTAGCCGCTAAATGGTTCAGTAAAGTTCTCCACTTGTCCTATAATCATGTTTTTCAAATAGAATAGCCAATATCCTTAATTTGTTTTCACTGTTGTTATGCCATACCATTGATCCTCTTGAAAAATCACATTATCAAAACATTTCTTTACTTTAGTTGATTCTTTAACAGTGATTACACAAAAATTGAAGTTCTTTGAATGATCCTAATCAAACGCCCCAAACCCAATTATTCCAGGTAATAAATAAAAATAGCTGTAGAAATTTGAAATTTAACTGAGTTTTATAGGTTTATACCATAAACCAGTGCTGAACTACCATTTAAAATCAATACTATTAACGAATGAGTAAGATAATGAGGCATTGTGAAAGTATAATTCAGCTTTAGGCAAGCAACCTTGCATGAAACTTGCTTCATTATTCATTCCACCAATACATCCACTTGCCCATTATATTAATTAAGATGGATAGACAGAAGGATAACTTATCTAACCATTAGTATAGTCAAACACATAAAGCCCATCCATAAAGTTGCTTGCAAAGAATTGTGTATTAATGATTTCTTAATGAGAATACTTGAAAGGATAACTAAACAAAAGTTAGCAAAGATAAAAAATCTTACAATCTAATAAATAGTTGCTCGTTGTAATTTTATTAGTTTAACTTAATCATAGGATAAAAAACTCTAATCCCTGATACCTAGATATACTATTCAGATTAAGAAGATTAACCAAAAGTAATTGTCTTTATTGATGCTAATTCATCAATCGAATTAATCTAGATTTTCATGATGATTGCTTCGTTTTAAAAGATTTGGATCTGATTTTAAGAAAATTAAAAGTTAATCATGTAGTTGATATTATTTCTTCCATGATTATAACTTGCAGTCTGAGTCCTCCTTGTTGTTTAAGATGTGAATATTATCTGATTATAATTGAAATTCAGCGTCTGGAATACTATGTTATCACCAATTTAAACAAGATCAAAAATATATTGATAGTCTTTTAACTTACTTATGTCTTTGTTGAAATAGCTTCTTAGTATGAAAACGAGAGTAAAATCTAATTCTTAATCTTACTAAAACTTTTCAATTGTAGATTCAAAATTAATAGTTAGCTTGTTTTAGCCACCGAAATCAATAGTTTTACCTCTATTATAATCACAATTTCCTCTAGTCTATCTCATTCCAAGAGGGCAATTATTTCTGGTTTAATTATCATACTTTATCTTGAAATCTTTGAAGTCAGCTTTAAAGTTTGATCTCCCAGTTATTTCATCAATAAAATCAAAATTGTTCATCTTTATCAATACTGCTAAGGAAGGAAATCTAAGAGGCAAAGTAGTCCTTTCATACTCCTAAAGTTCTACTATTGACATAGCTTTGTTCCATATTCTGAACTCTTTCATTCTAAGTCTCAATTTCAAATGATCAGTTGTGGCATCACTAGCATAAGCTATTTTGTATTTACATGGAGCTAGCATTTAAACAGCCTTTCCAAATAGATCATAATCAGCATTAAAATCAAGTTGATGATATAATTTCGGTGATGGTATAATTTAATTCCTCAAAATAAAATAATACCATTAGACTTCTGTCAATGCTTTTTAAGTATAAAAAATCTGTTTTTCACCAACTGTTTATTTTATTATGGTCTACAAATATCTATCAGAAGTGTCTTAAAGAGTTACTGATATAGTAGTGCCATTTGAATCACAAGAAGTATCTGCAGTTATTATTGGAAATTAAGGGAAGGATGTCATATCTTGATAAACAGTAAACTTGAAGAAAAATTCCATTGTCCATTCTGGAGAGAATTCTCTATCTGTTTCTAAGTCTAATTCAAGAGCATTCTTAGTGACTTGAAATTCAATAGTTTCCCAAGCATCATTCATTAACTCACATTCTTCTGTATCATCATCATAAATCTAATTGAATTAACACAAACTAGTTGGCACAGGGTTACTGAAGAAAAAATCTGTATCCTCCCATCTAACAATTTTATAATACTTTGTATGATTATATCTTTGCAAATTTACTTAATACTAAAATGCCTTTTCTCTTAATACAGAACCGGAATTCTCATCAAATGAAAAATAAGAAAGTAGTTTAGAATTTAAACCCAGAGTTCTATTACTGTATTTTAAAAGAGTAGGAGTATATTGATGTAGACCTGACCATATCATTAAGTCATGTATTGAAAATCTCTCACAATAATCTGGACATATCGTAATATTTGATGCAATAGGAGGTTTAAGACGAAATGATTTAAGTTAGGCTGTTGCAAGTAAAATTTAACCATCTTAATAAATAATTAGATCTCCTTCAAAGTCAAATTAATAATTGTAATGGTGCATGCTAGTTTATGTTTAAGTAGATTCTCTAATAAATGATGCAACTAAATTATTGCCGACATAAATGACTGTCTTTGAATTGTCATTATTAATCTCAGTAATAAGAATGCTTTGATCTTAATCCAACTAAATCTTGAATAGGTTTTAACTACTTAATTGGTATTATTGGGAAAGCCAAAATTCAATTTGTAATTAATTTGAAATTTTTATTTCTTCATAAACTGGTATGTCTAGATCGCTATAACCATCAACACTTGAAAATACAAAGAGCTATTTTCGGACACATTCATATTACTCATAATAATACCCCCTTTAACATTTTGGAATGCTTGATTAACCAGGATAATAAATCATTTCTTAGATATGTATTTATTTTCCAAAAGTCCAATAATCATTGAAATTTGATAACTCAAATGAATATTCGTAAGAGTATTAAGGTTAATAGTAAAGAATAATTTGATCATATAACATTTAGGGATCTGCAAATCTTAAAGAATTTCTTTAAATCTAGGCTGGATTTAAATAGCTATTCCAGATATAAATATTTGTCGTCAAAATGTTTCTAAAAAATCTTAGATAGTATGTACCAATCTAAATTTAAGGTAAATTAATGTCACCTATTGCCTTATTGTTATTGCAATATAATCTCTTTATGTTTTAATCTTTACTTTTTATTATTCCTAGATATTGCCAAGTGTTAAGTTTGAAGAATCTCAAATCTGATTGTTTTACTAAATTACCAGACTTATCAAATATTGCTAGTTTGTATTTTATAAGATTTTAAACTAATATTAGATTTTCTATTTAAAATAAGTTGGAAGAATCCAATTGAGTATAAACCCAAAAGTGAATCGCATATGATTCAACAATCTTATTAATCGTAAAGGAAACATGTCTTGTATCTTTCAAATATGGTGTCTAATCAGAAGTTCTATATCGAACTAATAGTATTTTAATATGTAATTAAGAGATGTTTTAATGAAACAAAAGCAAGGATTTAAATGACTTATGATAAACTGATAATGTTGATGTTTTAGTTTGATTATTTTTTTATAAAAACTTACTAGAAGTATCATGTGTGTATTCAGATATTACTCCGTAATTGTTATTCATATAATCAATATCATTTGCAAATATGTATGTTGTGCAATAAGGCAATGCTGATTTAAATTCATATTTTAAATCATAAAAGAAGCCAGTCCATTTAGTTGGACCTAAAGTCATAGGAAAGTATAAAATCTGATTTGGTATGTACATTCTTCTTCTATATTGATAGCAATATTAAAATCTTCAATTATTCTCGGTAATGATTTGGAACTTACTTAAATCTAAATGCATTAAGCATTTCTTTATCTAATGCAGTACTGCTAAAGAATACTCTAACTTGTTGAATAAATCCTTCCCATTTAGATTCATTAGCTGCTAAGTTTTTCTCACTGCAACCAATAAGTATTTTATCGTCTATAATCATAGAATCGTATGAGAAGTTTGCCATGTCAATTAGGATAGAGTTAGTAAAAAGTGATAATTAACTCTCCCCAGTAGTTAAATTTTTGCCAACAGTTAAAAACATGTAGCAATAGTAATTATAACATCTATCTTAGTATGTCACTGACATCCTAAAAGTTATAGAGTTTGGTAAAGAGTATAAATTAGTTTACTCTGTTTCAACTTCTATATTAAATGGTTTGTCTCTTATTTAGGCTTTCAAATTTGCTGCTAATAAATAGCTATTTTTCTTGCCACTAACTCCTCCAGTATTATTAATCATTTCCAAGGTATTAATCCCCTAAAATTGATATTTTAAATAAATATAAAAATACTCTGATACCTATATGAGTATCCTCAGATTGGCCCAATTGAATGTAGGTCATATTAGCAGGAAATTCTAGTTCGTACTTAACTAACTTAATCCAAATACCTATACCTAGAGACTTATCACTAGGAATAGATTAAGTTATTGAGTCAATAATAAGAGAATTATCATAAGTAACTTAAATACATTGGTTCTCTTTCTTATACCTATAATAATTTTGGCCACATGAAAATGCATGTGGTATATATTGGTCAGTATTGTTGCATGTTTATGGACTCATTGGGTCAAAGACCCATTCAAAATATCTTTTGCCTTATGTGCCACTACCTAAATATTTGAGTTAGTCTTATTCTCTACTTTAGTCTTCTTAAATCCATCCATATAAATTATCAGAATCTAGTCTATGATAGAGAAGTGCGCTATTTTTATATTTCCAAGGAGAACTAAATGAATGATTAAAAATATTATTACAAAGCCACAACTGAGAGCTAGTTGTAAGAAAAAGCATCAAGAACAAATGCAAAATCTTTCAAACTAATAGAATCTTCATTTGATGCTTTTAACTCTATCTTTTTGGAAGGCACTGATTCTTAGCAACTAGCGTGAGCTTAATAAGTATTCTTTTTCTAAATAAGATCACCTATTGTGTTGATTAATAATGTCTATGGTTATAAATCTATGGAGGATAGAGTAAAGTGAATCCAGCCCTAATCATTATTTGAAAAATCATTATTTGTTAGTTGAGAGGATGGAGCGATTAGCTCATTGTAGCACAGATTAAATTCTAAAATCCATTGATATTTAGTAGTTCCAGCGGGCATTCTCGTCATTTTAATATTCATAAGAGTATCTAATGCCCCAGATGAGATGATATTAACAGTTCCATCAGCTTTTTACTTTATCTAATAATATATTAAAAACTAACATAACTTACCCAAAACATCACCGTAAAGATATTTTCAATATAAATAACTTAGCCAAGATTCAAGGACTGAGATATTAATGCTAGGAACAATTAAATAAAATTATCTTACTCTTTTTCGGTATCAATGTTAAATGATCAACTATAAGAATAATTTCAGTAAAATAAGTATAATTACATCTACAGGTTATGCCATCCCAAATATGCCCATTTTTACACATTAGTAGTTTAATGTGATCCTCAACAATTTCATATTACCCTTATACCTAAAAGACAAATTAGTATAATTTGAATATATTACGGATATTATAATACTAGGATTGATCTTATGAGCTTGATTGAAGATAAACTTATTCTGTAAAAAATTTGGAGAATTCTTATCAACAAATTGTTCTGGGACTGTAAATTTATAGTACCCAATTAGATAAGGATATGCAGTTGGGTTAGGCAACTCACTTCTAAAATTCCTTAAAACCATGTACAACACACTTCTAACTTCATCACCAAAATCAGAGTAGTATCTTAACTCTTTCAAATATCCTTGGAATAATCCTTCCTGACAAAGATAAACTATTTATTCATTAGAAGAAGCATCACCAGCAATATCTGTGACAAATTGTTAATTGAAATAAAAACTAGCTTTTCTATTTGTAAACAGATATATGAAATGGTTCCATTCTGAAGAATTTATATTATCTTTTAGCAATTATTATGGTCTTTGTTAGTTTTTTAGATACATTAGCTCATTTCATGCACTGTATTACAGATAGTTTTAATCTAATGAAGATCCATCTTTGATTTTTATAATTCTGTTTTGAGCACTGTCTGTTAAAGTCATTAGCCAAAACTCCACAATAAAATACTTATTACTTTAAACTACGATACTTCTCTAACCTAGAGTTGAATCATCAATCAACTTTAAAATGTATTCTTTTTCATCAGCTTCATATTAACATGATTGTGAGGAGATATCATAATACGTTCCATTGCAGCACAATATCAGTTAGGAGGTATCATCCCAAATTTTATTCGAATTTATGAAAGGTCCTAAACCGTAGTTATTATAAGACTGATCCATTATATTAGTTGTATATGAATCATCTATAAAGAAAGACCAGTAAGTGAGCAATCCTGCTGGATATTAATCATGAATTATTTTTCTTCTAAATTAGAGTAAATCATTCTGGGATCTTGCTGGGTTCCATACTCTTAATTCTCTCATATAGAAAGATATATTAACTACAGATTCTAATGGATCAAGAATTCCTATGTATAGAACGTCTTTGGTAAAAGTAGGTATCTTTGTAGATTCAATCCAACTCTACTCTATAAAGATAGCATTTAGTAAAAAGCTGTAGGCATGAGTATCTGTTTCACCAATAAATGAGACTGCTAAATAATTCCAGGTTAAAAAATCCGGAGTTTCATCTTAGGAAAATACCCAATTTGATGAGTAACCAGTAGCTACCTAATGAATAATTTGTGGAGAATTTTTAACTTAGAGAGAAATTCTCATTGCTTAACATTAGTTGACCCCACTTTAACACTCACCAAATAATTAAATAGGTAATTCTGGCAAGAATTTAAATTAAACCCAGAATTCAACTGAGTAACTTTAGACTTATCTAAGTATTCCAGGTAATTAAATTGGCATTTCGATTCTAAGACTTTTGGCTGAACTGTTAGTTATAGTGATATTTTGATATTATGGAAAGTCTATTTGTCTCCTAGCATAATACTAGGTATCCATTAAATCTTCTTCAAAAGATGTGTAGTAGTTCAATTAATTAGGATAATAGTTGTTACTATTGTATGAGCGAACTGAGTTATATAACTTAAAGAAGAAGGCTTATTACATTTTATAATAAAATGCTAGCTTTTCCACTTTTAAATTTACCGAATGAATTCTAATTTAAGGTATTATTTTCAGAAGTCTAATATTCTTTAATGATTACCTGTAAAAGATTGATTGCATTTCTGCTATTGTACAAGCATAATTAGAGTAGAACAGATATTCTCAGGCTTGCATATTAGATCCTTAATACAACACGTTTATTCCTGAGTATTTATCAACTTCGCTTTAATAAGGTTACTGCAAGTTTTGATTTAAATAATTGATTTAATCTTACCCTCTAGATATCACTGAATACTTGTTAGTTTTTTTAAATGACAGCCTTAAGATTGTGGTATACTGTATATGAAGTTAAGTTTTTAGTGATTCCTAGCCTAAACCAAGCTTGATTGCCTTCGACATAAATTTCTGGTTAACCTATATTTGTGTGCAAAGTTCCACCCTAAATATAAGGCACTAATACCTTTTTATCAATATCGATTTGAATTGTGACTGCATAAGCAATTTTGATTGGAGTTGAAATTTCATTAAAATCTAGAAGTCTGATCCAAATACTTGCTGTAAAATTATCTAATCTTAAATAATCTATATCGTTCAAGAAGAAAGTTAAAGGTTTCCCTTAAGCTACAATGTCAACTCCTAAAGTAAAAATATACATCATCCATTTATCTTACCAGCAACGACTCAATTTTGCTAGAGGTATAATATTAAGAATATCATATGTGAAATAGGAAGGTATTAAAAGATTTTGCTTTTAGTCATTTTTGCTGTGAATTACTTTAAAAAGTTTTTTAATAATATGTAGTAAGACTTTATAATTATTATTCTTAAAATTACTATTTACTATAAATCAAGATCTTCCCTACTTTAAGGGGTTTTGGGGTTTTGGGGTTTTGGGG